CTCAATTGCACTGCTCAGAAGTTCTTCCATGCGCCGCAACCGACGCTGTCTTGCCAGCAGTCGGTGGATCACATCGACAACGTCTGCGCCATTCCCCAAGAGCATCTCCCTGTTGACAGTGTCACGAACGACTTCTTCCGGTGTCGGCGAGGTAGTGGTAGAGGTGGATGTAGCCAGCACTTCACCCCAGAAAAGGAGTCCAGCGTGCCCAACAACCACCCCATCCAAGACAGAGTCCACCACCGTAGCTGCAGACATGCCCCAAGACGACGAAGAGCCCAAAGGCGAAGTGGTGTAGTCAGACCCCACCCAGGAAGTGCTCGTAGACACCGATATTGAAGAGCTCCCGAACGTAGAGGAACAGGAGGACAAAGGTTGCACCACAGACAAGTCACCCCAATGAGGTGTGGTAGTGGCGGATGTGGTCAACACCTCACCCCGGAAGCAGGACTGAGTGTGCCAGTCCATCACTCCTGCCTGATCAGGTTCCACCTCTGTAGTTGACGTAGACGAGGCGCTCCAAGACGTAGACGAGGTGCTCCATGACGAGGATGAGCTCGGTGGCGAAATAGAGAAGTTGTTCTCCGTCCAAGATGTGCTTGTAGACGTCGTTGTTGGGGCGGCGAGCCATTCCGCCATTCCTTCTAGAACAGGTTCCACCACTGCAGTAGACGTAGACGAGGCGCTCCAAGACGAGGGAGAGCTCGAGGGCAAAGTAGAGAGGTTGTTTTCCATCCAGGAAGTGCTTGTAGACGTCGTTGTTGGGAAGCTCCCGAACGAGGAGGAGCATGAAGACAAAGGTTGCTCCACTGTCAGGTCTCCCCATGGAAGTTGGAGGAGGCCCATTTCTTCTGTGCATGGGGTCGTTGTGCTTGAAGTGCTGACACTCGACTCATTCCAGATCCCCAAAAGCTCACCCTGCAGCGCGCGTTGAACCTGAGGGCCAATCATTGGGAGCGGGTCCACGACCGCGGCCAGTGCTCCATTTTCCCCAGCAGCATCAGGAGCCCTGGAGGGGGATCTGCTGCGCACATCTACTGTCGCAGTAGACTCAGAGGAAGACGACGAAGATTGGGCCGTAGCATCCATGTCCGGCTCCATTACCGGTTCTTGTGCCACTTCCACCATTGCTGGCTCCGTAGCGCGGCGCTCACCCGACGAAGAAGCAGGCTCAGCATGTCCCCCCACAATCACGACATTGTTTAGCTCAGTGTTTTGGGGCTCTACCTCGCAGGCTTGTAGCGGAGTGTTCAGATGTCTTTCTACACAGGCAGAAAAGAGCGTCCCGTAGTTGCGTACCCAGGAAAACTGTCGCCAGCGTTCCATTTCACCCCTAGGGACACGAACCACTGGCCAGTGGCCCCTCGGCTGTAGGCGACGGCCAAGTACTTCAAGAAGTGTTTCGAGGCTCTGCATTGCTTCATCAGCCCGGCGAACTAGACGAGCAAGAGCCCATCTTGCTTCGGGCCCCGAGTCCTCACGGTTGTGGGCATCAAGCTGTTGTAGAAGTTGTTCTGCACGCACAATTTCTTGTGCTGACAGCCCGTTTTCTTGGAGAAGGCGACGCTCAGCTCCAGTCATCTCCATCCTGTTGGTGAAGTCGTCGTACACGGCCTCGTTTACTTCCGGAAGAAGTCCAGCGTTGGGAGGGAGCTCGATGATCACCGTTGTCGAAGAAGAGGTAGTACTCCAGGTCCAAGTGCTCCACGAGGAGGGGCTCCACCAGGAGGATCCAGCATCTTCTTGTTCGCCCCATTCCACCCAGCCATGCCATTGACTGGAGTCAGACTGCCACTGGCCAGCCCATGGGTCCGGATCAGTGACCTCAGTAGGTTCCGAAGCCATGTTGACGGGGAGGACTTGTGCAGGAGCAGGTTGTTGACCCACTGTAGTAGACGTCGGCTCAGCGGCTGCAAGGCGAGTTTCTTTTTCTTGAATATACTTCACCAGCCATGCAGGTTTCCATTTTCCCTCATAGTAGTCCTGCATTCTCAACTGTTTGCGTTGTGTACGTTGGGCTCCTCGACCTCCTTGATGTTGACGAAGTTCGGCAGGGGTGCGTTCACGATCCTGCCAAATCCCATGTTTCCAAAACCCTGGCCTTTGCGAGGAGCTCGACGACAGTTCTCCCTGACAGTCCTCAGCTGCATCCGAGGTGTCTGCGTGCCAAGCTGAGTCCGTTGTGGTTTCACCCAGGGACTCACCCGCTGACGTGGCCGCCTGAGAAGGGGTCGAAGCAGAACCTGACGCCAGGCCACCATCTCCATAGAACGTCTTTGCTTTCACAGCAAGCGAGGGTTCGTCACCAGCCACATTGGTAGGCTCGGTTGTGACGTTGCCCCCATTGTCTTCATTCACCTCACCCAAAGGTACATTGTGTGAAGTGGCCTCCGGCAAGTCACCCCTTCTCTCACGTTCTTCAGCAAGTCGTTCTTGGCGGCGGTTGCGTACAGTTCCATCCGGGTGATGCCACCTGTCCACTCCGCGTACTTGACGTTGTCCTCGTTGTGTGGTGCAGTCGGTGATAGCAGCGGGCGAGGAGCTCGCCGATGTTAGACTTGCAGGATCACGTCCAGGTTGAACTTGTGGTACCAGTGTACTCGAGCAGGACGACGTAGAGGAAGTACCAGATGTAGACGCTGAGGGAGCCAGTGGGGAGAAGGTAGGCGAGGAGGACGCATCAGTGTCCATAGTTGCATGCCGTCGGCGGAGGGGGCGGTTGTCGAGGATGGCCAACCACCAGTCATTCGCAGGAGCTTGGTCAACTTCAGCTTGGCAGGATGAAGGTTCCGCGGTGCCATAGAAAGGTAGTGGCAGGTCTTCCGGGATAGGCGCTAGTCTGGATGGGTCTTCAGCCTCAAGGTGGAGATCCATTTCTTCTTGTTGAAGGCCCAGACACAGTTCCGCATCCCATCTCGATCCATCATGTAGGGAGGGGTCAGGTTGAGAAGGAGACGTCCCATGCAAGGGCAGTGACGAGGGGAAAATCACCCCATCCGACTGCGAGGAAGAAGACGACATTGTTGTCCATCCAGAACCATTCGCCGCCCCAGCTCCCGAGGAAGAAGGCCAGGTGGACTGTGGGTATGGCGAAGAGGAGGAGGTATTCCACGCTGTTGTAGAACCAGGCCAAGGTGGGCACGAGGAGGATGTCGCTGGGGAGGTAGTGGAGTCATCCCAGTTCACCGGTTCACTTGTTGGCCAGGAATCGTCCTCCCAGGCCTGGGCCATGTGTACAACAACTTCATCTCTGGTCCATGGGCGCGACGTCGAGGAAGGCGGTGTCAAAGAGGACGAAGGGTTCCCATCACCATGCATCCCAGCCACCCAGGGGGCAAGGAGGAGCAGGCCAAGCAGCCATATGCGAAGGCGGAGGGCCGCCATGTGAGTGCTGGCAAGGAGAAGGCAGAGGCATCCAAGAGTTTATTCTGGAGCCAATATTTGCAGCGCACCAGGCCAAAGATCATGTGCACAAAGACAAAGTGCTTCAGCGTGTGTTTCAGGAAAGCGAGCTGCATACAGACATGTAGTAGAGATGTGCATCAGACAGACAAGTGAAAGATCATGTGGTCACTGGAGCGAGTGCAAAGTCACCCCAGTCGTAAAAGCCCACAGCAACCTCAGCAACCTGAAAGGGCTACTTCATACGCAGTGAGCCAGGGCGACCTAGTAGCTAATAGAAAGTTGTCGGCCAGAGCACCATTTAACATCCCACTCGGCGATATAGTTTTTCCTTTCTCTGCTCCAGTTGTGTCGGTCCTGTGCCGCTACAAACCAAAGACAACCATGACTTTCGGCAAGTTGTCTCTCAGTGTTGGCAGCGTAAAATCTCCCGGGATGACGCGTGCCGGTGATCGGCCCAAGGTCTTGTTGGCCACGCCACCAATACATGTTCCTCCATTGAAGAGCCTTCAGTGTCGGGCAGGGTTGAGGAGTCCCGGCAACAACTTCAACTCTACGAGCCCTGTGTCCGTGGAGCATATGCTGGAGAGACAGAATCCTAGTAGACCAACGGGCAGTGTCATGACGATGAAGCCAAACGCGGACAAAGCGTAGCGTACGCTTGTTCCAGTCAACCCAGGACTCTCCCGTACCCCTCCGCAGTCCAAACGCTGCTCGGCAGACATGCAATTGGAGGACGTTGAGGCTGTGGAGATCATCCCTGCTCCAGTATAGAGCGCCGCCGATCCAATTGAATTGGGACTCGACAAGCGTGCGCATCATGGCAACCTTTTGGGTCCAAGATCCTGTCGCATTGAGGATGTCCTTGTGGTGACCCGCAGCTTTGCGAACTCTCGCAATGATTTCTTTCGCCTGTTCAGATTGATCATGTCCAAGCGAGAAGGGCAGGCCTAGGACTTTCACAGACTCGGATCTTGGTGCAATCTCAAAGAGAACGTCACCGACCTTGGCCTTGCGAGCTCCACTGTAGTACTCGTTGGACACGATTTTTGTCTTGTTGGTAGCAAGACAAAGACCACCCCGTGCCAAGCACTTGTCCACACAACGAATACGGCGACAAAGTCGACCCAGGGTCGTGTCAATGAGGAACACATCGTCCTGGTAGAAGAGGAGGTCAACATCCAAGCCTTCAAGAGGGCGACCAAAGTCACCCCATTGTTTGCAGCGAACAAGGTCACTCAGCATTGCATCAACCACCAAGCCAAAAAGTTCTGCGCTCTCGGGTGCTCCCTGTTTGATACCAATGTCCGGCGAGATGTCAATGTCTTTGCCTCCAGGTGCACATCCATGGAGGGTGTGCGTGCGGAGCTGGTGGAGCATGTAGCGAAGTTCATTCCCAAAGACAGGATCATCCAAACGGCTGGTAAGGAGGCGGGCAACTTTTCGACGATCAAGCCTGTCAAAGGCTCCAGCAACGTCCAGCTTGCAGAGGAGTAAGGGCTGCTTCCATTCACGTGTAATGTCTCTGAGGCGCGAAAGGCACCCCACCAGATCAGCAGCCTGTCTTCCCTTGCCACAGCAGGAGATTTTCGACCCACTGCGAATCGTCGGAAGGATGCGAGAGCAAACCAGTCGGAGACACAGATCGGACGAAGATCGGCCGGCCGCTGGGGCTGGGGTATCTTCGCGAGAAGTGCCAGGAAGCTGTGTTCCCAGCTCGCGGGAAGTTCTTGGCGAGCAACGATGTGGTTGATCAACCCAAGAAGGCCATCCGCAAGCGTGTCATGTGCAACGATAGCCCGCAGAAGATGCACCCCAACTTGATCAGGGCCAACTGCGCTCCGAGCTTTCATCCCTTGGAGTTCAGCGCAAACTTCATGCAACTGGAAGGGGGTGAAGGGCAAGCTCACCCCTAGGGATTGAATCACATCGTCCAGTTCAGCATCCCATTTCGAGTGGCCCTCCATGCTGGTCATCTTCTCGGCCAAGTGGTCATGTATCTCAGCCGCGAGCTGTTCAGCAGACTTGTCCGCCAAGAGCGATCCCCACCAACCACGAATCCTCTTCTTTTCATTTTGTAGGCAACGATATTGGTCCCAATCACCCCCAAGAATTGCACTAAGTCGCTGCTGTTGCCAATCTTTACGGTGACGACGGCGGAGGCGATGAGCACGTTTCCAGTCAGAGGCCAAGTTGCTTGACCTTGCAGTCCGGATGGCTGCAATAACTTCGTCGCTATCTTTATATTTGGCAGATGCTCTTGGCTTCGTGCTGTTCTTGGCAATGGCGATCAAGTCCTCCTCATCGACAATGACATCATCCCCCAATTGACCATTCACCCATCTAGCGCGTGAGTCGTTCCTCCATCGTGTTCTGCAAGGGCCATTCGCGACGAAGATGTCTGCAAAGATGAGAGCATGATCTGATCCGATAGCAAGACGGCGGTCCGTGGCGAATGTTAGAGGGGCAATATGCAGCTGACGCTTGAAGGCCATGTCAATCTGTCTTCCGCTTCGTTCTTCATCCCGGGGATAGTGAGTTGGGCAGTTCTGGAACGTGGGGTCGGGTGAGATCGTCGAGATACCATGTTGCTGCAGAGCCTGAACGAGACATCCCAAGTTATTGCCACACGCACCCAATTCGAGGGAGTTTGCATTCTCGATCCAGGAAGGTACTTCGTTTGCATCGACTCCGCACAGCAGTGGAAGATGCCGATATTTCCGAGGACAGGCATGCGCAAATTCATGGACAGCGGCCTGGTACACAGCGTTGGTCACCCCTGTGTGGCAGTGCAAGGAGCCAATAATCACACGACCTAGCCCAAGAAGACGGGCCACAATCCAGATGCCGCGGGAGGTAGAAAATTTATGTATAACTGAATCGAACTTGTCAAGGGCCAGCCCCACTCCAATGCCACGCCATTGTTCCGCAGCTTGATGGACCACCCAGTGAAACTCTTCAGTGTCGTAGGAGCTCCAGCCAATCTCACCCCTTGATACTTCTTGTACCAAAGCAATGTCAATGTCTGAGGCCACCACATCAAGCATCTCAACTTTCTGTCCGGCGAGATTCCACTGGCCAAAGCGACCCCATCTGCGTTTTGCACACGGAAGTGTCGCACATCGTCCCCCGTCCTTAAGAGCAGAAGACTCAGGGCCAGCATCGGCTAACAAATCATCCTCCGGAGTGAAACACAGCTGTTTTTGTCACAGTTCCAACTCGAAGGAGGCCTTGGCCTCGTCCGTAGAACAGCCTGCAGTTTGTGCAACGGCAGACAAACTGACCCACCCACCGGAAAGGACCACAGTGGTGTCATCCTTGGGAGCACGGTGCGAGGAGCTGCCAAGTTTAAGAGACCCACACCATATGGTACCAAGATTCCAATCACAATCGTACATGCCCGGCTGGTCGTTGATGGATCCACTCACCCCAGCAGCTTGTCGAGCAGCTGTATCTTTCGCCAGGGCGATCGTGACACGCCTGATCATGGAAACATGGCTACTTCTCAAGCGGGCCGCTTTGGTCTTTACAAAACTCGCCCACATAGTTCTTTCTTCACCCCCGATTCTGGTTGAGGGTAGCACATACTTGATGCGGGTGAAAGCGCGCACCACCTCCCACATGCGGCTCCGCAGGTTGTTCTCCGTCTCTCCCTCTCTCAGAACGAATTTGAGCATTCCAACTGATCTACGCGGCCCATAGATAGCTAGCTTCTCGGCATCAATGATGTTCTTGATCTCCGGCATGTTGAGGATCTCTGCAGACTCTTCTTCGATGACTGAGCGACGTGTATCCTGCATCCACCCTCCAACCACCAACGTACGACGCTCATCCAGTGTGAGTTGTTCACGATCACCCTGAGCAACTTCTGACGAGGACACTGCGGGGGCACTCTTTGCTCCGGCCTTGTCGAACTTCTTCCGGTTGAGGAAATCAGCCCAGGGATCCGGTGCACCGTCTGATCCGCGAGCTGGCTCTGGAGCAGGTCTATTATCGTGGAGTTCATCAATCCGGACCTTCATGTTCTTGACTTCATTGGCCAAGGTTTCAAGGCTCTGTGCTGTCTCCTGGGCTGTCTGGCGTTGGTGAGCAACATCTTTCTCAACCACGACGGTTCTTGCTTGCAACAATGTCACCGCTCCTTGTGTGCGGGTTTGGGCTGTTTCAACCTTGTCAAGTCTCCCCTCAAATGAGTGCCAGGCAGTTTTCATCTCAGCAACATGACCCGACAGCAGGATCCTAAGCTCACTGGCCGTCAGCGGCCGTTCATCACCCCGGCTTGCACGCTTGCTAGGACTGTCAAGTTCAGGATCACTTTCTTCAGGGACACATTGGGCCAGGCCTTCACGAGCATGAGGTGCTTCACGTTTTCTCTTCTCCAGCTTGACCATGGATACATCCTTGTCCACATCATTCTCAGAGTCGTCAGCCACTTCGGTCGGCGATCTCACCTCGACCAGCATCTCCCCAGGGCCAACATGAGCGGCAGCATCGGTGTCCATTGAACAATCAGCTTCCGTCCACGAACTTCACCCCAATGTGTACTTCGTCAGCACAAGGTGGGGTAGCAGGAGAAGAGGAAGATGGCCACGTCCGAGAGGAAGAAGAACTCCCCCAAGAAGAACAAGATGGAGCCAAGAGCTGCCAGGAAGTCACCCACGAAGACGAGGAAGAAGAAGGAATCGAAAACAAGGAGCCGCTTCCCGAGTATGTCCGTCACGCTCACAGTCCACGTGCACGTCCAGCCAAGAACTCCAGTTCACCCCAGCAGATAGGGCGGAGCCAAAGCAAAGACGTCGGCCCACCAAGCCAGCGAACTCCCCCGGGAGGAACAGGTAGAAGGCGAACAGGACAGTGACGCACCAGCGAGGTAGGTGAACAGAATCAAGTAGAAGTCCGTGTGCAAAAACGGGTAGCCGAAGACCACGACTGAGAACAGGACGCGGATCGGCGCTGAGGAAGGCAGGGACAAAGGGGGCAACAACCAAAAGTCGGGTTTGGGCCAACAGCTTGAGCCGGTTTAGGGTTTAGGGTTTCAGGGTTTAGGGTTATAAGTCCCTTAATTGGGGTTATAAGTATAGTTACCCTAATGATAACCCTACTTACTAAGTCCCGTGATCCTGTAAGTAGTCATACCCTAACCCTCAACCCTAAAGGATCTACTTAACCAAAATACTTCTCGGAAGCGCCAAAGACATCACAACTCCCAAACCCCGAGCCCTGCCAAAATGAGACCTAGAACCCTAGTTCCTTCATCTTCCCCTGAGCCTAAACCCTAAACCGAGCGCTCAGGACATCATGAACTGCTGCTGCGGCGGACGAGCATTCGCCATCAGCGCCTTCGCAAATACAGGGCTTGGGGTTTGAAAAATGCTTACCTGCAACCCCAAACCCTAGAGAATGGGAGTTTATGACCCCTGACTTACCGTTTCATAACCCTGAAAACTTAACCCGGGCAGGAGATGTACGGGGGCTCGAGGAGGCCTTCTCTAAGAGGGTCCTCTGGGATGATGTGCTTAGAAGTTGTGATTTAAAGGAGCTCGCACTACTGCAGAGACAGGCAGGTTCCCCAGAAGATCAGTTATCTACATGATGGATAGCTGGTTTCGGGTTGACCCAAAACCCTAAATCCAAAAGCCCCTTTACTCATTGAAGCCCTGCCTGCATCTTTTGCGGCAACACTGCCAGGAGCGCCTGGCACAAATAGTAGTTGGGGGCTTCAACCCTAAACCCTAAACCCTGGGGGCTTCATTTACCGGGGCTCGACATTCTGAGAATCTTGGCACGTGAGCGTTTTGCGGCCAGGCTTCGGGTACTTGTCTTCCCGCAAACTCCGTAAACCGGGCGGTTTAGGGTTTAGGGTGTAGGGTTACTCGATGCTTACATCGCTTCAGGGAAGTTGAGGACTAGGTGGGTAGAGGTCCAGGCTTTGCTGCTCAGACGAGTCTTTCCCAAATATAGCATGGAAGACGCTCGCTTACGCTACTTAGGACCCATTGACAAATGACTGTATACATACATACATACATACATACATACATACATAGGTGCATACATACATATGTACATGCATACATACATACATACATACATACATACATAAATACAAACATACATACATACATACATACATACATACATACATACATTACATTAATACATACATACATACATACATACATACATACATACATACATACATACATACATTAAAACATTACATACATACATACATACATACATGCATACATACATACATACATACATACATACGTACATACATACCTACATACATACATTAGATATACATATGTATGTATGTATGTATGTATGTATGTATGTATGTATGTATGTATCAGTGTATGCATGTATGCATGCATGTATGTAAGTATGTAAGCATGTAAGCATGTAAGCATGTATGTATGCATGCATG